CCTCACCCTCTCCAGGCTCCATCCCTCACATCTCTAGGAACTTCCCACCTGGAGTTGGCAACCCTATCTTCTTCCCAGCAAATCATCAACCTACCTTTATTTCCCCCTCACTCTTCAGCTTTCCACCCCCCACACACCTGCAGCCTCTCTTGTGCTCAGAAGCCCTGACTGCTACGTCACATTGGCTGTCATACGGGGGCCACCTCAGCAGCATATAAGGATACAGAGCCCACCATTTTCTCCAGGGGAACTGATCTCTGCCATCTGGAAAGCAGTTGTAATTCTGAGTAATCTCCAGCCCTCACCTGGAGATTGGACACATTTTACCTCAGAAGAGCAAAACTGTTTAGAATGTTAGAGGCAAAAGCCAATCAAGTCGCATATGCAAACGACCTCTGTGTTCCAAGGCAGAGGCCAATGAGGCTGCATATGCAAATAACTTCTGTGTTCTGACTGGCTATGGGGGGGGGGAGAGGAACAGCAAAATATTTAGAATGTTGGAGGCAGGACTCGGGCAAAGCAGCCAGTGGATAGGGAGACCCTCTGAATGACAGATCAGAGAGCAAACTGATTTTGGAGCATGTGGAATTCGGCTTTTATTTATAAGGGAGATATTTTATGGATGTATTTTATTGTTATATTTGTAAATATATTTTAGTATAAATGATTTCAGATTGTGAAAGCCTATGGCCATATACAGTAAATTTTCTACCTACCTACTTTTCCTTTACAACACAATGTAGAATTAGCTAGCTGGCTTTTGAGGCCAAGAAAATATTTTCTTAAATGTGAAGAAGGAAAGCCTCTCTCTCCCCCCCTCCACTTCACCCTGTGTGTGCTTTCTAAATAGGCATGAACTCAGTGAGATTGGCTGGTCCCTAACTTAGGTCTGTAGAATTAGCCGGTTAGGTGCCACAATTCAGTTTAGATTGGCAAGCACCCTGAGTCATCTAAGGGCGAGGAGACCTAATCTAACCAGACACTGTGAACTCACCAACCCAAGGGCATAATCTAAACTTGTATGTGACTGGCGTAGGGGAAGGGTGTTGGTGTCTAGCTTGTAAGGCATTCTGGCAAGAAGAAGGAAGGAGCAGCTGCCTGAACAGGGTGGGGCTGCCCATGCTGGTGAACCAACGGGGTAGCCTTTTAGGGAATCTACATTAAACGGGAGATAATAAGTTGCAAGCCAGCTATGTAACATTTAATAATTAATAAAATTTCTTTGAGTCTAAGCCTTTCTTTTTGCCATCTGGGAGCAATATGTAGCCAATATTTAAATATGGAATGATGTGATTCCTGAGGGGAAATGAAATGCCAAAAAGCTAAAGGCATTTTAGTTTATTCTCTATACTCTTGAGCATAAGAGAACAATCCTCAAAAGTATCTTCTGTTTAAAATCCTGGTGACGTTGAAAGGAGGGAATCCAAGTAATTAAAGTTCCTTCCCAGGGTACAGTTTCTAAGTGTGACGTAACTTAGACCAGGTCTAAACACAAGACTGCAGTGCTATGTGTCAGCTTTGAAACTCAAACAGTAACATAAAAGGAATGAAACAGAGCACGTGCAGAGTATCTTCCAGCTCTGCATAAGCACAACCAGCCCACATATTTGGATACAGAGGATTTGTTTTAGAAATAAAAGGACTTGACACCTAAGCAGATAAGTCTGCACCCTCTTTTTTTAAAAAAACAACAACACATGATTCCTGAACTAAATTACACAGGAATGTTCCTTTTCTCCAGTAAGTTCTGTGTCTATGGAAATAGAGAGGATTAATAACATGTACTTAAGAGCCCCCTCTCATCATTTTCAAATTCAGGAATGACATTCCAACATCCCTGTCTTGTTGAATGAGATGGTGAAAAGCTGCTTCTAGACTTCTGGATAAATAACAGAACTGTCTGTGTACAGTGATGCTGATATGGGAAATATATTATTAGCTATTTGAATTCAGATAATGTGCATGTGGGGGGGGAGGTTAGGAAGAAAAAGAGTTCATATCATAGATCTGGCATAGCAAGAAAACAAAAGTTAAAGCTACCAGCTCCGAACAGCATTTCAATAAAAGATATTACTATCTGGACATTTGTCTAAACAGGCTTACATTTTTGGTCTTTCGCTTTTTGTAATCCTACAGACAGATTGTTAATATTCTTCAAACAAGTTATTGGGTCTTTATTTCCTTTGTTTTAATGGTTAGTCTTAAAAATAAACAAGGAAAATTGGGTTACATAATAGCTGACATTTAGCAGTACAACCCATTTTCTCTCCAGCTCCTAAAGAGCTGCCTCAAGAACACTGGCAGATAATCAGGCAAAACTGTCAGTATGACGTAGGAGGAAGGGAGAAAAATAACACTCAATAGGAAATGGGTTCTATTGAATTCCACTGAAGTTTCCAAGTAAACATCTTCGGGCTAGGCATAGGCTAAATTACTATCCCAAGATCTGAGTCGAAGCCTTTCACTATCTTGCAGGTATCCAAACTATTACTGTTGGTTTTGATACGATTCCAGAAATTTATTTTATGTATTATCCTTTGTCTCACCTTTCCCTCACATATTAGGTCTATCCTATTTTATACTCCCAGCAGCCCTGTGGGAAAATGAGAGGTCCAAGGTCACCCTGTGGATTTTGTATTAACAGAGAGATGATTGGTGCTCTGGTCAGACTCACACTTCACCACACTGGTTTTGTCAACAGTAATAGGAAGGTCTTTGCCATTGTCTTCACTTGTACTGCATACTAGCAATATAGTTCAAGAAAGTGCCTGCCACGTAAGGTTGCCAAACTCCAGATGGCAGTGGGAGATCTCCTGGGATTACAATTAATCTCCAGGAGACAGAGATAAATTCCCCTGGAGAAAGTGGCCACTTTGGAAGGTGGACTCTATGGCATTAGCACACTGAAGTCCCTCCCCTCCCTAAACCCCACCCTCCTCAGGCTCAACCCGGAGATGGCAACCCTACTGCCAGGCCACCTCATTTACTGATAGTCATAAGGGTCTTCAGCCAAGTAAATAACATATTTGAGGAATTGTGATCCAACAGATGCAAATAATTATTGGCCCATAAGTTTACTATCAGTGGTGGGCAAACTATATGCTTCCTTGTTATATAAGAAATTATTTCTTTGGATTGAGGATGAAACCATACTGGGTTAAGAGCAAGCCAGATTCCATAGAGGAGCAAGTGCAGTTGACCACTGCCATACTCTTCAATTTATTGTGGACAAGTATACCAGCTCAAAAGATGGCATGTTAGCTGTCGCCTTTATGAATCTCAGAGCAGCTTTTCAGTCAGTGCCTAGGCAAAGACTATGGGACAAACTGAATAAATCATCTACTGATAAGCATCTTCTGTTCCTGATCCAACATCTATATGATCAGAATACTGCCCAGGTGAGATGTGGTCCATCTGGTGAATTGACCAGGGTTATTCCATTAAGTAGAGGAGTCAAGCAAGGATGCATCTTTATTCTGTTGTTATTTAACCTGTATGATTTAATTTCGCATATTTCTGAAGATGAATTTCATTCACCTGGCTTGGCTCATGTTAAATTAACTTGTCTCTTATATGCTGATAATACTGCCCTCCATTCAAGATCTGTGGTTGGCCTACGCAAGCTTCAAGGTTCCTTCTTGGAGTATTGTTCCAATGAAGGCTTAGCCATTAATGTTACTAACTCAAAGGTTCTTCTTTTCAGTAAAAAAAAAAATGAAGGATAAAGAAGTACAAGTGATCAGTAGCTGGTCAATCTATGGAGCAAGTGTAACAATTCAAATATCTAGGAATTATTTTTCAAGGAAGCCTTTCTTGGAAGATGCACTTGCACTCTGTTACAAGAGTTTCCATGAGTACTGGGAAGGCTATCTCAAGATTTTATTACTCATCTGGTGGCCAATATGTTCCTGTGGCAGTTATTCAATGCTAGAGTTGTCGGGCAGGTGCTATATGCTGCCGGGATCTGGATCAGTGCAGTAACAGACAACATTAATAGACTACTATTAAGATTCCTACACAATATTTTGGGAATTCCTCAATGAGTGTCTGGAATAGATCTGAGAGCCGAAGCTAGAGAGACATCCTTAGAAGCAAAGGCCCCGGAAGTGTATTCAATCTGAACATTAGGATCCTAAAATCAAATCCAGAATCAAGCCTCCTTGGACTAGTTAAATTGGACCATCACACAAGTGATTGGGACAGATTATGGGATCATAAATATTTCTGGGCATTACCCATAATTTGATAGAAACAATGAGTAGACAAGAATTTTGTAGTAGTAACTTTTGTGGGACAAGGGTTTGCTGTTTATGACTTTGGTTGTGAAAACAGTAAGTAAAAAAGAAAGTATTTGAGCAATGAAGTGACCTGAGTTTTAGTTCATCTACTGATTTCAGCCCATCCCCATCTAGAATACTTTGATTTAACAAGTTGCCAGATCTGGCTGTTCAATACTTAAAATATTAAACTCAATTGGATCTACATTCAGCTCTTTACTTCAAACCATACTGGAAACAAACAGAACCTGATGGAAATATAGGAGCCCACTGATCTGTTAGTTGAAATAGGTTGATATTATAGTATCTTCTCCTTTGTTATACTAGGGCCATATTTGCAAAGAGGAAATCAGCAGTAATTTCACATTTGTACTATAGTTATTGATCAACCATTCAAGTCAAAAGGGACACCCATTCCTAAATTAATACACCTGATTACCAGAAAAAATACAATTAAATGTGTATTACTGAACTATGTAGTCTCAATTCCCAAACAATATCAGACTATCACTTTACATTTATTGCTGGTTGCCAGACTTGTTTTCGCAAGAACATGGAAGTCGAGTCATAGACTGGCTGATTAAAGTAAAAGAGTGGCTTAAATTGTTAAAATTATTAAGATAAAATTAAGATAAAGATTACAAAAGCATCAAAATCCTCAAAGAATAATGAGAATGTGGGAAGCTATCATTCTGTCCTGTGCTAGGTATGATCGTTACCCACCTCTCCTTCTCTTTCCATATTGTGTACCACTTAAGTAATCTTTTTGTGCTTGGGAGTTTGGGATGCAAGCAATACTGATGGCCTCCTCTGAATCGTGATTTCATGGTGACACTGAAATGAAAAACAAGTTGTCAGCATGTTAAAAATGCATGCTTATGTGACAGCAGATTCTGTAGCGGCTTGATCAAAGGAGCTGTTACACAGGATTTCTCCTGCATATCCCTCCAGTATTTAAAACCTATATTGTATTATGCATATAGTGAAGTCTCTGACATCAATTGACTGGGCTTGGGAGATGGCATTGACTTTTCATGGACATTGCAAAAAAAAGAAGTCTTCTTTGCAGTCCAGCTTTTGTGCTGCTCGTGATGATCTTAATGCACACTTTCTGAACTGATAGAGTGTCAACTGCTTCAACGGCACTGTTCGTGGTTGGAGAGGAAAGGGAAAGCATGGATTTAGTCCTCCCTTGGCCAAACTAGTGTAGTGATGCACATGAGCAGTCCAATCAAACATTTGTCTACACAGGGACAGCTGCAGATTTTGGTAAGATTTTTTAAAAACTTTGTATCGTAGTGTATATGGATCATCATTGGTATACAAGGGTAACAGTGTGCACTCTGTCAGAAACTACCAGGGCAGGAACTGGGAAACAGGACAGGCATGTGGCTGTGAGTTAGAGGACTGTTTCCGTGGGTTGCCAGGTCTTCAGAGTGTCTCCATCTAGAGCCACACAGGTTTCCCATGGTGTGGTAGAACAACAAATACATGTAGGTCACACTTGGGTTCCCCCCCCTTAGGCTTTAGGGCTAAGTACTTATGGGCTTATTCTACTTCTCTCCAGTTCCATGGCCACCCTTCTTTGAATTCCACTGGAAGGCTGCCTAAAGTACAACATCACAATACAGTCAGATGAATAACTATTCTAGCTCACTACTTTTAAACATGATTGGCAGCAACTTTTATACCCAGCTCTCCAGGGTCTGAAACAGAGATATTTTCCAGCTGTTCTCCTAAACATCTTTACCTGGGAAGGAATGTGGAAGGAATGTGGAAAATCTTAATAGCAAAGCAATGCATTCCATTTCTGAGCTACGTCTGTTTGACAAAACACAAGATACTAAATGGGTACATTCTTAGGAACTTTTACAGTGCTATATTTGCTTGATTTTACTGATTTAAATTCCTTAGAGATTTTTGTATTACCCCAGTTCCTGCAAAATTATCATTCATTTTTAAATCTGGGGGAAAATAAATAACGTGAGGGAAATGATGACAAGACATTACACTTTAATAACAATGTCTTTGTGAAATATTTGTTTCTAAAACATTGAAATATTTATATACAAAAGGGGTGCCCTACCAGTTGAAGCAATTCATTAATTAACACACACTCAAATTAAATACAATGAAATGCATAAAAATATTAAAGCATGCAACAGAAAAGAAGGTGAAGGAAATGTGCACTAAGGAGAAATCAGCAGTATACAACTTCAACGAACCTGAAAAACATAAAAAGAGCAAGAAGTTTTCAAAGCAGAGGACCCCACTCCAAAGCTAAAGGTTTGATCGTGCATGTTTTCTTGATGATCTTCTGTGAGAGTGAAAAGTTTCCCTAATGGGCATTTCATTTACATTTGTACCTCACGGCTTTTGCCTTTTCCTTCAACTGCCAAATCTGGCTGTGCTTCTAAAGGTCTAGAGCACACGTCTCTCTCATACCCATCCTAGAAAAAGCTTGTTATTGTTTTCTTGACAGCCTTTCAACATCCAGCTTCTGCTGGCATCTTGCTTGTGAGAGCATACTGCTGTTTGGTTTTCCCATCAGGCAGGCAAACTCTGAGGCCCAGACTTAAGTCCTTGGCAGGCAATGCTTGGGCAGGAAAACCCTCACAAGGCTTTTGTTATGCTGATACCCGTTTCTGAACCCTTTGTCAGCTTTGGGTTACTGATGGAACGGAGACATAACTGTGTATGCAAGTTGACTGGGAAATTGCTACCTCCATACCTTATGGAACTTTGCTAATTTGTAAGGACCTGTCAAGAAAGGAGGTCACTGGCACACTGGTCTGCATGGAGGAAGTTTGGAACATCCATCCCCTAGTATTTACATGGTGACTCTGCTCTGGCCTAATATATATTCTTTTTCAGAGAAGAAGCAAGAGGGAAGGAACAATCTTCTTTAGCCATAGAGCCACAATTCTGAGCTTGTATCTTTTTATAAGTTAGCAGGCTTACCCTGGCTAGCCGAGGCATCAATTTTTATTTATTTATTTGCCTCAAAATTTGAGACAAAGTTTATGAGAAATACATATTAACTATTTAGTACTGTACTGTTTCAAGATAGTCAGTTCTTCTTTCTGGGAATTTCTGAAGACAGCTCACAATATGGATAGTTGATGTACTGATCCCATATTCTCAGATAGGTGATGATCAATACTGTGTGCTTGCATTCATCAAAAAGGAATTCCAGAAATCCAGCTTTCCCTGGCAAGAATCCGCAACCCACTTCCTACATACTTCCCAGTTGTCAGGATCGTTGTGCTGTCATTTTGAATGTAACAAAAATACCTATAAGGATACTACCATGTTTTCCTCATATACAGAAGGTGCATATGTGCAGATAAAGAATGTTACATTAAAAAAAAATGATGAGGAAATGGTGGTGGACTACGAATATCTAAGAAGCAGTGGGCTTAGACAGGAAAGAGAGCTAAAGCACAGAAAGCTTGCTGTCTGGATTGCCATGTCTAGTCCAAGTAATCCTGCAAACTAGATGCTATTGTTTCAGTACTTCTGCATCTCTTTGGGTGGTGTTCTTTGGCACAGAATGCAATTTATACATTTTTAGATAAACAACAACCCACCCCTCACACAAAGAACTGCCCTTGAATCCTGAACCACAGAACCCAACCTGTTTTTGAAAGCAAATGTGAACCCGTACAGAATCTTTATGAGCATTGTTTTACAGCTTCATTGTACAAGCCTATTGAATGAGACCACAATGAGCTAGAGAGCCATGGGAGAAATGCAATGATGCACAGCAAAGGGGAGGAAAAGCTCATTGAAGCAAACCATGTGATTTCCCCCAGGGATGCTTATGAAATTTTGCTCATCTGAATTTCTCTCTAGATTTGGGGGCTTCAGATTAAGTGACAGCATTTGTAGAGCAGCATTGATGCACTGTGGATTACCACTGTGTAGTAATGCACGTTGCACATAGTAATATTTATTTAGCTGCATATTTTGTAGTTGTCAAATTTTCATTTGATACAATGTTTTAATTTATCTGCATATGGGCAACTGTACATTGGAAATTGATGAGGAAATGGTAAAATTGATGTAGGTCTAACTGGCACCTGGTATAAGAACATATTAAGTTACAGGGTAAATTAGTATAGTCCTCATGTGGAACTCAGCATGAAATGTGTAGGAATATTTTTATGTGTATGTTTGATCATACATCCATCAAGAGACTGTCAATGATCACTTCAGGAATCTAATCCTTATAATGTTTTGAAAGGGGAAAGTATTTTTAAGACAGTTGAAGAATGTCAACATGGGTGTCAAACCATAATCTTGGGAATCCTGGGTATTTGGATTACACCTAAAGGAAGTCTAACTTTTTAATAAAATGTCTAGCAAACAAAAAATTTCCAAAACCACTGAAGTGCAATAAGAATGCACTCCAATATGTTTTGAAGATGAAACAGGTTGCCACTGGGATGATATAATGAATACTTTATGAGAAGAGATCTTTAAAAATATGTTAACTGAACATATTTCCCAGATTACTTAGAAGTTTAGTCCTTTAATAGGTTTAGAAGATATCACTGATATCACTATTCTTTAGAAAACTCTTCAGATACATTGCTTTGGTCACTGATTCTCAACAGAATGCTGGATATCAGAACTATGCTCTGTTGTAGTTTGTGCTTTGGCCCTGTAATCAACATTATCCAAGCATTCAGTACTGATATCAAAGCAGAATAAAGTCTGCTACAAAGCTTCAGTTTCTGGACCAAGGCACTACATTAAAGCTACACCCATTTCATGTTCTATCAGTATTCTAGAATGAGAACAAAGAGGACTTGCCTAGATCAGCAGGTGGTGCAGTATTTTGCATGGCTTCTCTGTGTCTGGTGAAGGCAGAACTACACATTACATGTGTAGTTGTGTGGGGGGGGGGGCTGTACTTAACACTGTAGTTTGAAGCAGAAAACCAGCACAAGGGTTTCTTATTTCTTTCCTACCAAGCATTTTTGACTAAAAATCACAATGCCTCACACCCACTGCTTTTACCCCTACCCAAGAAAAGATGTATCATTTTCTTTGTGGGGTACCGGCAGCTGCATGACCACAATTTTTCAGTAAGAAAAAAAAAACACACAAGGAGAAAGAAGTCACCCATGACAGTGATCCACATTATATGGCAGCTTTAGCAGCAACATCTTTTTAGTCAGAAAAAATAAAGAACTACATATCATCAGAAGACTCTCAAGAACTTGTTAATGATTTACTTGGGGTTCAATTGGATTCCAAATCAGTCTAATTTCTCCCAGAAGAAGTATATTATATTGTGAAGACTAATTTGGAGAACTGATGTCTTCAGAAAAGTTATCCTGAAATAGAAAGAAACTTTCATTCTAGCTTGGTGCTCAACATGGCCAACATATCCTGCTCCTATTACTTTATCAGCCACAGAGAATAAAACAAAGATCTTGGGAAAATGAAAGAAAACAAATACATTAGGATTTGGTTGTAGAACATGCTTCACTTCAATGCAAGATGGCACACTGTCACAAATGGCATAAGCCCAACATTTGGGTAAGCATATTTCATAGACAACTGGGCATTTCAGTTGCTGTAACAATGTGAAGTGCAAGTGAAAAAGAAACTGCTTCTGCTGTGGAAACAGATCAGTGATCAATTTATGACCAAGTTTAGTAGGGCAAAGATGCTATTCTGGACATTTTCCTTTATTGTCTTCTTCAGCTTTACTCCCAAGTATGTACCAACCATTTTAAAAAGTTAACCTTTCTCATTTCTGAAACCGGCAGATTCTGTATAGTGACATCTGGAGTCATTTTAGAGTTTGATGGATGCACTGTGGTCCTTTATTTGCTGTCCATAAAATGATAGGATGTAGGTAGTTTTCAAGACCCTTATTCAGTAGGGGGGAATGGGATTTCCTCATTTCTATACCAACAGGTGTGTTCTGATTTACACAGTATAAATGCATGCCCAGGATGTAACAAGGTTGTTGAAATTTCATTAGCCAGTCTACACTTTCTTGGAAACCGTCAGTGGACAATGGAAAGACTAACAAAATCCAAAACCACAAAGATCCTGTGGTCCCTGATACTCTCTTTCTGTGTCTCTCATTTGATGTATAAGCAGGGCAGTTGTGTCTCTAGAACCAGGTGACACAAAAAAGATTTGGCCATTATGAAACATAGAGGATGGAAGGATTTTCACCCATGGAGCATGACTTTTTCTTTTCCCTCTCCTGCTGCACCCCTGTATGCCCACCAAATGCTGTTCATAGGGGTCTCCTGTACCCAGGAACAGCATTTTGGCATGCATTTTGGACTGCAGCGGAAGGGGACAGACTAGAAAGTCATATTCCGAATGAGGAAATCCTTCTATCCACAGAAACATTCCAATGGAACCAAGCCATAGCATTCTTTTCCTAGAAAGAGAACAAATTGGTTACGCATCTATTACATAACTAGTTCCAAACTAGTTCCAGGGAAGAATTCTAATTGTTTTCATTTTAAGACTTTGATTGGCATGTTTCCAGCAAATGACACTGCAAAGTGAATAAAGCCTAATTTTTTTTAATTTGGTATAGCTCACGATGGGTCTCTAAACTGAAATAATCTCATCCATGGTAATGCAAGTTAGAACGTGTGTTCAAAGAGATAGGTGTACCGTATATATCAAGGGCAAAGTGCTTTTATTTATTTAAACCAGTTCCTCCAGTGAACTGAGAGGTTGATCCTTATGTGCAGCATAACCCTGTGCTCATTTAAACTCAGGAGGTTCAACGCAGGATTACAGTCCTGCACACAGTAAAAAGCAGATTTAATTGAAGATAATGGGATTAGAGCAGTCCACCCAAGTAGCATCGCTAGGCTACTTGCTTCCATGCAAGTACATGTCGGATCAGTGGAGTCACAAGAAGGCAAGAAAGCTAGCTCAAGTTATTATGTTTATTAGGAATTATTAAACTACTTTTACAAAGTTGCTATCAAATTCTAGTGATTTACATCTTAAACAGATTTATTGCACTAAAGATACATGGGACATTTTCAAAATATTTACTCATTGTTTTGTGCCTAATGTATTAGCATATTATAGATGCCACATTAATTTTAATAACATTCTTAAAAGCGGAAAAAAACAGAATGGGTAGATGCAGACTTATTTCTTTTGATACAAGCCAAATCAAAAAGTGGGACTTACATGATCATTCTCTCCTTGCAATATGGATACTTTGGCTTCTCTTCAAGTTTTTGTATATCAGAGAATCTTATTTTAGGGCCCTTTCTTGCACATTTGCATTTGGATCCTAAAAAAAGAAATATTCATTCATTGGTAGATGAAAATCACAGCATAATATGTACTGCAGTTATCATTCCCCCATTATCTCTCTCATTCCTGGCTTTTAATCTGTGCAAATTGATGAGCTTTTAAACATCTACAGGAAAAAAGTTAAACCACATATAGAATGGCCTGAAAGAAGATTAAAAAACAAAATTCTGTGTTTTTCGACATCAGTACAAAAAAAAAAAGGTTTTACACTGCCAAAGATACTGTGTTTTAGTTCTCTATATGATAGCCAGTATATATTCCACTAAAGTCGATGGGATATGCAGCCGAATCCTATGCCTGTCTGCTCAAAAAACAAAATCCACAAAGTTCAAATGCATATGCACAGAGTTGCATCTTTCGTGTTAAAAGCCATATGGCAAAACTGCACCTGCTGTGATCAAACTTTGTGAAAACAAAGAAAAACAAAACATTGAAGCTGTTATATATATCTGTAGGTAATGCTTTCCTCCTCTCTTTAGACAAAGACTTTAAAATGAATCATAGAATGTGTTCAGATTTCTTCAGCATTCTGCATTCAAATTGTCAAAGTAGCCCTTGACTTCAGCAAAAATCAGCCCCTTGGATCAAAACAAGGCAAATTCAAATCCACAACTACAAATGTAGTATCAAACTTTACAGGATGCTGAATCCAGGTATAACCCCACCAGTTTGCTCTTCCCTGACGTTTTCCATTAAAATGTATAAATTCACCATTCTAAAGGAGTTCGTGCCAGAGTACGCACCAGCAAAATAAATCCTTCAACACTTTAGTTCAGGCAGTTAAAATGGTGACTAGGGCTGCAGTGGACCTTTGACTTTTCCTGCATTTTTAGTGTTATACTTTTCAAAAAAGAAGTGTAAAGGTGTTTCATTCATTATTTATTAATTAGCTCAAGCCATCAGTTCCTCCAGGCACAGTGATACATTTCAATCAACAGTTTTAATAAGCAGTGGAAATCAAATGAGAAAAGATGGTGAAATAGGTGGTTAGTGAATAACCTGTAACTTACCTTCTATGCTGGTAAAGCAGATTGCAATGAACACTAAGAGAAAAACAACTGTGAAGAGCTTCATGATAAAAGGATCTCAGGTACCTAAAGAGATGTTTGCTTATATCTCACTTGAATAATCTGCTTTCCCCCCCACCTTGCCTCTGTTCTTTGATCAGATGCAGTGGTCAGACAGAAACTTGGTGCTGCCAGGGTATGCAAATACCTAGGATCTGCTCTCTTGACTGCGGCTATTGCTATCCCATCAGTTTCAGCTGCTCTCTGTCTGAGCACTGCCGCTTTCCTCCTCTTTTAAAACATTTCCTGCTGCCCTTTCCTCAGACTCATTAATATGCAGAGAGACTCAATTACTTACAGCAATTTCTCAATTCCCCCCAAAGGGGGGAGGGACTTAACAGAGAACGAAAATAACTGATTCTGCTTAAAGCAGCAGAATATTTTAGAGGATAACACTCTGAAGAGAATATTTTATCTAAAGAGAATATAAGGAAGGGAAGGTGGGTGGGAAAGAGTGATTTCTCCCCTCCCCCACACACCATCTGATCTCTGAGATGGCAAGAGCCTTGTATTTTACAAGATGTTGTCACGAAGAATGTAGTCATTTGTGTAAGGTAGATGGTCCCATAAAAGGGGGGTGGTATTTGAAGAAATTCTGTTTTTTAAATGTACACAAGCAGTTAAAAGAACCACAGAAGTTCCAGAGGGTCATTAGATTGATTATTGGTGTATGCTGTAAAACAAAGTTTGAGTCTAGTGGCACCTCTAAGACTAACAAAGTTTAATTCTGGGTATAAGTTTCCGTGTGCATGCACACTTCTTCAGATACTGTGTATACTGTGATGATCTCAAGGATCAAGACATGGTGATGTCACTTTAAGAGGCTCCATATGAAAAAAAAATCATTATTCTCATAGAAAGGACACTGAAATATAAATATACTTTATTTTTGCATATAAACAATGGGGGAAGCATTAAGAAAAACTGCATTCTAGCTAAAGTGTCAACTTTTTCTTCTGACATTGTGAGGCTTGAGACTGCAACTTGTTTAACTAATCTCAAAATCCAGCTCTGCAAGGGCGGACTGGATACTTAATTTACCGGAAAGTTCCTGGTAGGCTGCTGCCCTGAGGAACACTGGTGGCCAGGAACAAATGGGGCCAAGTGGCCCCTGTGGTGCTGGCAGAGCAACAGGGGCTTCGCGGCTTGGACCTGGGCCAACTATTAACCACAGGTATAAGCTCACCTGTTGTCATTGTAACTGTTGCCTGGTTTGAGCTGAGTGGTCTTGGCAGTTCTGCCAGCACAGCAGGAGTTGCTTGTCTTAGCTTGCTCCAAGGGCATTCTAACTTCTCAGTCCACTCCTGCAGCTTGGGTGATCTCTTACTGAGGTCTGAGCTGTACATTGATCTGTGGGATTTTTGGTGCCATGCTGTGGCGCAACAAATAGGTCTTGCTTGATTTGAACATTTTAAGGATTGTGGCTGTAAGAGGTTATTTTAACAACAGTCCATCATTCGACATTTTTATTATGCTTTCTCTCATAGTCTATAGAACACAACCATCTTTTATTTCAGAATAGCCTTGATATTTCAGATGCTTTGAAAGATTCATAAGGCATCCATACTGTCCTTCATTCTGAATATTGTGGTGACAATTGGTAATCAATTTCCTACTGAGATTTTCAGCTTTGATATATCCCTCAAGTTCATGTGACAATATCAAAACAAATCGACATCTAAACCTGCCCCTCCCCAGAAGTATATCTTTGGGAGATAATGTATTCAAAGAAATAATATCTATTAAGCACATTGTTCATGAGAAGAAAAAAGACACCCTTTTAATGAATGGACAGTTTTTGTAATGAATACACCTCCTTGCCCTTGATGTCTTATAGAAAAAATGAGCTTGGATTGCACAAAACAATGACTGTACTTGTTACAGTATCTTCCTCAATACTTTCTAGTTTTGTGTGACTCCTTTGCAAAATGATTTCCTAACATAATTTTCCTGTAGAAGATTGTTTAATGATTGTTAATCAAGATTGTTTCATGCTGACTAGTTATATTTTTATTATCCTTGACCTGTCCCATGTCAATATGGTCAAAAGTGTGGTTTTTTAAAAAAGTATTTCTTGTTTACTGTTCCCAAAAAGCACACCTATACGTGGTGTTTCTGGTCTCCATTAGTGAATGTGACTGTGGAGCCTGGGGGTTGGCAATGATTCCAGATTAGTACACTAATAATAATCCAACACAGCCAACAAGAAAAGTAGCCCTACTTGTACATTTTTACATTTACATGAAAGTTTTCCTTGCAAGGAGCTTGCATCCTGTGTTGTTTCCAGTATTCGGGTGTTGGCAGGTTGAGAAGTACATGCATACCACACGCACAAAGAATATGCTGAACAATGCATCCATCCCCTCCTACCCCCCGCATGTTAAGCTGTTCATGTGAGACGTGCTGTTGACATGCTTGGAACATCCTGAATATCCTTGAGGCTTACGAATGCAAATGTATGTGTTCGTTTCTTTCCTAAAACGTGCTACTTATGTACTGTTGAGTGCGCGCGAGTGTGTGTGTGACATATAGAAAGCAAGCACTCACAAGCCAAGGGCTGCGGCAGTACATGTGCACAATGAAAAACATCCAAGGGGCTCATCTGTTAAAGCTTACCTAGTTAATAGTGTTTTCATACGGCTTTTTATTATTACCATTCAAAACAAAACAGGGACATGAAAAAGCCCTCAACTGGAGTTTAGGATGATCTTAAAAGGTTTAAAACAAACACAAAAAGATTAATAACATATCATGCACAATACAATCATGCAGAACACATTTACTTCTTAAACTAATATTTGAATTAAGATGAAGGTATAGGTAATGGCAGATTAATTGATTTGCTTTACATTTACACTTGGAATCTAAAGAGAGAAATTGAGTTACGTGTAATTATGGTGTTTGCTATAAGCCAAAGATTGCCATCAGTATATATTTACTTCCCACCTAAATATTGTATAAGCGGGAAAACAAGGAAGACACAATGTAATTTTATGGAAATATAGCTGAGTGTGCACATGAGGCTACTTCCGTGTGAAAGCCACGTTAACAGTTAATGTCAAGTTATAAGCATCCATACACCCCGTGCACAAATTAATTATTCCATTTGTTTGAGGCAAGATAAATAATTTCATAAAACATAGCTAGCCCTGAAAAACTGCAGCAATACAGTAAAATAAATAAATAAATAAAGTGTAACATTCATTACAGACAATTAAAAATGTATAAACATCATGAAATTACGCCTCCCCCCCCCCCAGTCTTCTGAAACAGATGGATTTTTCACGGTGTTTTTTTCTTTCTTTTTTCTAAATGGTAACAAGGAGGTTAACTGGCATACTAATTTATTCCAGAAGCTTGGAACTGCCATTGCAAAAAAAATTCTGCTTCTCTTCCCCGCAACTTTTCTCATATCCCTCAGTAAGGAAATGTTTAGTAGGGCCTGTTACTCAGGGGCAAAGCAGCTTGTGGGAGCTCACCTTAGGATCTAGCAAAGCATATAAATATTTTTTGACACCAGAATAACAAAGCACAAGTTCTCCCCATATTCCCATACAAGTAAGGTACAAGTAGATAACTCATTATATGAGTGTACAGTCACCCATTGCAGGAATCTGATCCCAGAACAGAAGCTATGCAGATATGTCATGAAGTAAGGAGCTGACAGACCAAAAAGAGAGTCCATTCATTTAGCCTCTGTTCTCACGTGACTCTGAGACATCATCTATTTCCCTCAATTTCTCCTCACAATCAGCTGGTAAAGTGAGTTAGGCTGAGATGTTTTGGCTATATGGTTTTGTTACCAGATGCTAAAAACAGAAAAATATCATAGTAGCCATAGCCGTCATACCCTACCTCTGAACTTTCCTGAAGCACTTGGCTGTGGCCAATTTTTAGGCTGGTGACAGGCTAGAATTTATTTTTATGTAATTCATTTGTACCCCACTTTTCTCCCCAATGGGGACCCAAAGTGGCATACATTGTTCTTCCCTCCTAAATTTTATTCTCACAACAACCCTGTAAGGTAGTTAGGCTGAGAGCGTTTGACTGTCCAGCTTTGGGGGCTCTGGGAAAGAGGCTGAGGCTGCCTCACCCTCCAAGATGCCTTTCATTCTTGGTGGGTCCCCACAGTGCCTCAGAACAGTGAAGAGCAGAGGGCTATCTTCACTCTGCTCCCTATTCTTCGTCTCCTGGTGTCACCCATGTGTCTCTGGGGTGCAATCAGGCTCTTCTTCCTTGGTAGCTTCCCCACCAGACCCTAAAAGGCTTCGGAGGGGGGGCAACCCCAGGCTCCACCATTCCTCTTTCCTACAAGGCAGGGTCCTCACACCTGGCAGGCCCCTCCTCTAACTTCCACCTAGTTCCCATTAGGGCTTGTTGAGCCAAGGTGTGATAGGGCTGCTTTGCCACTAAACCTCTCTCACTCCCAACACACCTGTGCTCACCCTCCTGTGGCCCTGGATCCCGCTATCCTCTGTCTGCCCAATTCCATGTCACATCCACTTGCAGCTCCAAGTCTGCCTTTTCTGGGACTGCCCAACCCGCTCCCTAAAATACTGGGCTGGGTCCCGCTGACACTCTCTGCCTCATCAGCCCCCAGCAGCCATGCCGCTGTTGACCCCCCCCATATACACATCAGTAAGTGCAGGGGGGCATAGAGCCACTCCCAGACAGTCACCCATTGAATTTCCATGGCATGAGTGGGGATTTGAATCCAGGTCTCCCAGATACTGGTTCAACCTTTATAACCATGACACCACACTGGCTTTGTATTCTGATCCAGTGAGGCACTTACTAATGCCCAATTTTTACATTCCTTTAGCATAGTCATACAGAGAAAAAAGTAAATGTAAAAAAAAATCCTCATTGTTTCTTTTAATTAGCGAGCATTTTGGTTTCTTCAGTAGTGAAGAATATTACTGAGTAACTATGAACTCTGGTCATAATGACCAAGGTTATGTCAAAAGTGTAGAATTTTCTTCACAGATTTCTTTATGGAATCTGTATAACCCCCCCCCCCCCCCCCCCCAAGCTTCCCCATAGTGAATAATAGAGCCAGAATCATGAGCAAAATCCAAATACTAAACTGGTACTTGGAACCAGATAACTGGGAATACCAATATTTTTCAACTCCCTACATCCAGATTCAAAAAATACTGTATTTCAGTTATCTGCAGTAGGTATCTATGCCACAAAAGCCAACAAGAATCTAGTGATACAT